AGTGTCCCTCTCATTTTCATCCGCACGTTGTCAGTGGATTCGCGCTTATGAGCGCTTCAACAGAAGATGTGTGCAATAGAGCGAGTGCGCGAGCGTGTGTGTGTGTGTGTGTGTGTGTGTGTGTGAAAGAGAACCTTTTCTGTCTCTCTCCATGATTCTGTGTGTGTCGGGGGATGGGGGTGTGAGCGCATTCACACAGAAGTGTTCCTTTTATTGATCTCCAAGAGCCCATGCAGTCCGGACTGAATCGATTTTAATGTCACAGAATAAAAAGGGGGCAAGAAAAGTGGGATATAATAGATTTACAAACTCAGGATTATGCTAAACATAACACATTCCCTCGTAGTACATTAATTTGTAGTAAATTGTAGTAGACTAGTATAGCAGTTTATACTGTAAATAGTTATGCGGTCTACCTTAAGACTACACAATTTCATATAGGCTACTGTATGGCTGATTCTTCAATTAAGGCTTGACTTCTTCTTCAAAGTGTGTTTCATCAAACTATAAAATTTACAGTCATAAAGATTTGGTTATGGCCTTGATCAGCCAAGTGAATTATAATATAATATATTATAGCGATTTTTTGTTTGTTTTAACATTGTGTGTGATAGTAATTCATTTCTCTAACTTTTGGGGAAAGGGTTAATTAGCAGCTGGTTAATTTTGATTTTATAAATCAAATATAATAGAATGTATATCATGATGTAAAAATCTTTCGAAATGTGTCGTTATAAAAGAATGTTATTCCAATGTTTAAATCTATTAGGTCTACAATATGGGCATATACTTTCACAAACTATATGGGATTTTAATTAAACCATGTTCCAAAGGGACAGAAAAGTCCCTGTGAGAAAATATTATGTTAATTTTCTTAAGTTGCTTGACTAAGTTGTTTAAAAAAAATCCATGGTCCATAATAAACAAAACAGTAGCTGATCCAAGCATTTCAAGTGGCCTCTTTTCGCCAATCTTTAATTAAACCCAGTTAAACCGCGACCTCTGCAGGCGGTTAATTGCAACAATATGAGGACGCATATAAACGTTTAAGAAACTCCACGCCGCAGCGTGGCGCTACTGTTCCAGAATGAGGCGGTCACTAAAGAGAAAAGCGCCAAAGGAGAAAAACGAGTGAAAAGGAAGAAAGAAAGGCTACAGCTCAGGTTGTTGTTGTCATTGGCAGGCTCTTGTACTTGTTTGTCTGTCATCTGAAATCGCTCTGTGGTGACACAGTAGACGCGTCTTTAGCGAAATGGACCCGAGCACGACCATTCTGCGGGTGAAGAGGAAGAGAGGCACTGATCCGGCGGACGCGCTGCTGCTGGCCTGTAAGCGGATCCGTCCGGAGGCCACGGCGGCTCAGCCCAGCGACGAGAGTGAACCAGAGCCACAGGAGCCCAAGATAGAGAACTCCGTGTTCAAACTGGTGGCCACCGTGGTGTCGCAGGTAATGTCTGAACGTCAGCCGTCAGGAGAAACGCGCTGTATTGTTTTCGGTGGTCATGATGATGCGTAATGACGTCATGACTCGCGAGCGCACTTGTCAAAATGCATGTGTTAAAAAAATCTCTTGTTTGTAACACTTCAACTTTTGGCCAGATGCTCTTTAAAGTGTGTTTGTACTGTATCACTTGTTTTTCTCGTGTGCTGGAAAAAATTACCTACAGTGTAGGCGATATTAAACTACAGGTGTTATACTTGATGTCATACAGTCCCATTGCAGACCATGGGTGGATTTATAGATTTATGTAGTAATTGATGCATGGATAGATAGAATGTGTAAATAATTAGACTCGTGATCAAAATAATTGTCAAATCCAAACAACGGCTGTGGTTAAATCTATATGACCATAATTGTCTGTTTTATTGTCATTTGCTATTGTAGTCTAATGTATGTATCAATTCTCTTTACAGGACGCTCCGGTACAGCCACATGTCCGTGAGGCTCTGGCTCGCCCACGTCTGGCCCATCATACCTTGCGGCCATCACAAGGAAGCACTCAGAGGATCGTCGGTGATCTGCGCAGTGTCAAATGGAGCACCAGGCGAGAGGAACGGTACCGGATCCTGTCCAGCCACCGGGCCGGACTGCCGACAGAGCCCGCTCCTGCAAGAGGAGGAGAGGAGAACGATGACAGCCAAACAGAGAGCCGTGGTGGCCTGTCTTTGGGAGAAGTGCAAGTGTTTGATATTGTGCATGAGGAGGAGAACGTCAAAATGCCTGTCAAGGTAAAGCCAAAAAAGTTTCCTCAGGCAACCTTATGCAGTATTCATCTTGAACACTTTTTATATATTGAATGTACATTTTGGCTACGTTTCCCTTTACCAATCACTCCAACTCATGTAAGAAATATGTATGCACAATTTACATTTGTCTTCAAAAGCATACTTTTTAATCCCTTTATTAAATTGACTTAAGATATAATTGTTCTTTTTCCCCAGACTATGTCTGACCCAGAGACAATCCTGTGTAACTCTGTGAAGATGATTCGTGAGAAGCTGAGTGTGTCGGGAGATGGGCTCGGTACTGAACATCGAGAGAAAGAAGACGATTACGTGTATGACTTGTACTACCAGGAGACGGCCACACCAGGCTGGATCCAAGACATTCTGTCTGTCAGACCCTATACACAAGAGGGAGAGCTGGTTAGTTGCAGTGTTATTTTAATATTATTTATATACTGTTATAGATTTTATTAGTTATATTTTTGTATTACCTTTTAGTTTTATATTTTCAATTTTAGTTGAATGTTTAGTAAGATAGGTGCTTTTGTCATTATTAGTTTTACTTATACTTACTGATTTTAGTGCTTCAACTTAAAGTTAGTTCTGTTAGTTTGCAAGCAACATTACTAATTTTCTTAGGTTGTTTTCATCTAATATTTAAATGGTTATATTTCAGCATTGTTTCAATTAACAAATGCCTTTTTTATAGTTTTACTTTGATTTCATTTGTCTTTTTTTCCCTCTCTTCAAATACTCAGGTCCCTGATGAAGTGGCCTGGGAGGAAGAAGTGTATGAAGATGAGGATGATGAGAACGCTGAAACCAACTGGAGAAATGACTACCCAGATGAGAGCAGTGAGGATGACGGTGATGCAGAAGAGCGTTATGGAGGTCATACGTCTAAGCTTTTTTAGAAATCAAGAAGCAAAGCAAATAGCTTCTTATTAAAGCATAGTTTGCAGTTGATTTGGCTTATGGTGTGTTATAACAGCCAATATTATGTCACGATTCTAAAAAGAGCATAATATGGTTTAAGCTGGTTTAGGGCTGGACAATAATTCAGTATCAATATGTATCGCGATATAATTTTTTTCAATAACGGTGATATGATTTTTAAACACATTTCCGATATTTCGATATACATTACCAGTGTTTCCCATACATTGATTTATTTGTGCCGTTTGACTTCGTTGAATAAACATGAGCACTGCACGTTTCAAACTCATAACACGGCGCGGGTGTTTTATATGAATGTATCTCTGAAGGGAATTAACTGTCTTCAGAAAAGTTTCGATGGCATTTTCATTTGATCTGATAAAGAAGCGTTCATGAGCGGAGCTGCTTTGATTACAGCCATTACTGGAGAAACCGCTAGTTTTATCACTCTAAAAGCGCCTCCTGCTGGCAGAGAATCAGTTTTCATTTTAAATAAGCCGTCTCCAGCAACATTTCCAGTTTTTGTTGTTGTTCAATTTTTTTGTTTTCTGCAGCGACTCGGAGCACTTTTCATACCCTTTTTTCTGGCTGAAGCACATTTGTTTCAATCTATAAGAATAATCAGCCTACACTACCAGTCAAAAGTTTTTGAACAGTAAGATTTTTAAAGGTTTTTTTTTTTTTTAAGAATTCTCTTCTGCTCACCAAGGCTGCATTTATTTGATCCAAAGTACAGCAAAAACAGTAAAATGTTGAAATATTTTTACTATTTAAAATTGCTTTCTATTTGAATAGATTTTAAAATGTAATTTATTCCTGTGATCAAACATAGGTAAATTTTCAGCATCATTACTCCAGTCTTCAGTGTCACATGATCCTTCAGAAATCATTCTAATATGCTGATTTGCTGATTATCAATATTTAAAACAGTTGAGTACATTTTTTTTTCAGGATTCTTTGATGAATAGAAAGATCCAAAGATCAGCATTTATCTGAAATAAAAAGCTTTTGTAACATTATACACTATTCCATTCAGTATAATTTTTATTATTTTTTTGGGAAAGAAATTATAGAAATTAATACTTTTATTTAGCAAGGATGCTTAAAATTGATCAAAAGTGATGATAAAGGCATTTATAATGTTACAAAAGATTTCTATTTCAGATAAATAGTGTTCATATCGATATCGGAATTATATCGTATCGACCGAAATTAAGAAATATATCGTGATATCAATTTTATCCATATCGTCCAGCCCTAAGCTGGTTTTTTGTTTTGTTTTTTTTCATCAAATGTATTCTCTCCAGGTTGCTGGAGTGAAGAGCACTCGTACAGCAGGAGGAGCTGGGAATGCTACCGGCGGGACATGATTGAGGAGTTGGAGAATGACAAAGATGAGGATGAAGACGCGGAGGAACGAGAGTATAATGATTCTGACTGAGAGCCTCTGTGTGTGGATACGAGCATGAGAGAGGCCATTTTTACTGACGTGTGTTGAGTGAAACTGTATGTTCTTTTGTCAAAAGTGAATGTATGTAGTAGCCCATGTGTGTGTACTTGTGTGGGTTGCTTTGACTTGCGCGTTAGTGAGACGAGTGATTTACTATTTGCAATATTTTGCGATTGATGTGAAGATAGTATGGAGAGAAAATGGTGAGATTTTGAGTTTGTGTAAGTGTGGGGTGCTTTGTGTTGTCAGTTATGTGTGTAGTGTTTGTATGTTCATCTAAGGGGTGAAAAACGAAATACCTGTAAATATGTAGATGTGTATAAAAAAAAAAATAAAGACTTCAGAATTAAACTGAAATATAATGAATCATTTATTCAAACAGTTCTTGTCTGGTAGCAAAAAGGTTTTATTGATATTCTTTCAAATAAATTAATAGAAACACTTGTACATAAAGGCAAATAACAATATTGTTTGAAAGCTGTTCAGTGTGTTTCATGCTACAAGGTAAACGTTTATCAGAGTGACCTGTTTTAATCACATCTGGACATCCATCCTGAGATTACTTGGATTTTTACCAGTAACAATGTATTGCTTGTTTGGCCAATGGACATGTAAGGATGATTTTATAGAAATTGAATGATTGAAGAGCAAATTTCGTGACACTTAGTATTGTAATATGAATTCATTTGGACAATCTGTTTTGTTTTTTTCAGTTTGAAACTGAAGTTAACTGAATTCAAAAACACAGATAGAGGTCCAATCAAAGAACAGAGACACTTAAAAACATTCCTGGATTGAGTCGACAAATGTTTCCAGCACATCTGATGTACTCGTCATCTATTCCTTCCTAACCTCTTCCACAAGCGAACGTGATGCTTCACTACATGTACAGAAGCATAGCAGCAGATTTCAATGTTCAAATGCACAGTCACCTTCCCTCTAAAGCTGACCTCTCCAAATACTGTAAGAGAACTGATGCATTCGTGCGAAGGTAATTGCAATAAGGAAAATGAAAATAAAATCTCTTTCACTTCAAAAAGTGGATAAATAAATTGTTAGACATTTTTAAAACTAGATTCTAAAATAAAACCATGTTAGATTAAAAAAAGGGGAAAATGTTACATGATCTAATTCTTGGCCATGTCTTCATAATGGCACACACAAATCGCCACATCCTGTTTATGTCCTCTGAGAGGTGTTTGCATCATGAGCGATCCGGTACTATTATGAACCAGAGCTTCGAAATGGCCTTTATTTTCATGCCATACGGTTCTCAAGGTCATTTCTAATACTGCAGTGCACTGTGGCCTTAGCAGAACCCTTTTATAATAAAGAAAAAGAAGAATCCAACGCAGTGACATTAAGAGTGCATCTGTGTCTTTAAAAGTGTGGAAGATCTTTTTCCTGTTGCTCCAGACATTGGTTTCCTCTCCCCGAACCAGTGGGTTTGTGGGTCAAAGGGGTGCAAGTGTTCTAATCAACAGTGTCTAACTCGGTGAGCACACAAAAACAGGTGAACTGGGTGAAACGGGTGATGGCACCTGTGTAAGGGAGACACACGTTAAAAAGAATCACTGTCACTGTGGTTTTGGCTGTAAATCAGTCTAATTAAAGGACAAAGTAATGTTTCACTGCTAAAGGCCGTGGTACTTACATAACAGTTTAGTGATTATGGGTGGGCGCTTGGACTCTGGAAGATAGATACCCAAGAAGTAAACAGGCACTCCGGAGAGGGCAATAGCAATTCCAATGAGTGAGTTGAGTGTGTCAGAATAAAGTGGCACAGCCACCAGGAACACAACACACAAGCAGAAGATGATGGGATACAGCAGACTCAACTGTATATGAAGGAGAAGAGAGGAAAACAACATTAATTCACATATGTCGTCACAAAATTGCACCTGATATTAGGATGGAAACTCCTGACTAAATCTGTCATTCTGTTTCCCTTCTCACTGTCTCAATAATTCAGATTTCTGAATCAGTCCTAACTAACCGGTTATTCAAAAGTTTGGGGTCAGTAACATGTTTCAATGTTTTTGAAAGATGTCTCATATTGCTCAGCAAGGCTGCACTTATTTGATCAAAAATGCAGTAAAAACAGTAATGTTGCAATAATATTACTATTTAAAATAACTGAAGAATATATTCTAAAATGTAATTTATTTCTGTGATTGCTACTTCATTCTTCAGTGTCACATGATCCTTCAGAAATCATTCCAATATGCTGATTTAGGGCTCAAGAAACAATTCTTATTATCAGTTTTGAAAACAGTTTTGCTGCTTAATTATTTTTGTACAAACTATGGTGCACTTTTTTTCATAGATTCTTTGATTATTAAGTAAGTTTAAAAGAGCAGCATTTATTTAAAAACAAATCTTTTATAACACCGTAAATGTATTTACAGTCATTTTTGATTAATGTTCTTGCTGAAAAAAGTGCTAAATAAAAGAAGTAAAAAAATTCTTAATAAGAATTCACTAACCCCAAACTGTTGAACCATAGTGTATATACCAATACAGCTGTTTGTATTGGTTTATGTGTTCAAAATACACAGTAATGGATCAGATGTACTTCTACTTGTTTTTTTAAAAGCTACACTCTAAAAAATGCTGGGTTAAATATATCCCAGCTATTGGGTTGTTTTGACGCAGCGGTTGGGTTGTTTTGAACCCAACCGCTGGGTCAAAACCACCCAATAGCTGGGTTTGTCCCTTTTTAACCCAGCGCTGGGATATATTTAACCCAGCATTTTTTAGAGTGTATGCAAACATTTTTATTTCATCTGTATAGTCTCTACTTCCTCACCTTCAGTGGTCGGGGCCTGTCTGGCTCTTTCCAGCGAAGGTAGATCTGCCCAGCAATAGACAGGCCAACGAAAAACCAGTAACTGAAGCTGTAATAGTTAATCAGCTGGAAAACATCCTCCACTGTAAGGTAGATCAGGGCCATGGCACACTGCAGACAGAAAGCATGACCTAAGTGACTTGGCCCACTAGATGGAGACAGAAAACCTCAAAATTGTCCCAGACTGAGAGACTACAACTGCATCTATATCTGTACAGCTAAATGTAGCATATAATAAAAACTTTAATAACTTGTATATAAATACATGAAATAAATATTTTATTAGTATAAGTATAATATTAGTATATTTATTAAAATATTCTCACAGGTCACAGGAAATCACATTGATAAAAGAGAAAGTTACGATGCATGCAGTGTTAATTGTAACTGAAATACACTTGCATTAAATAGCAGAGCAGGAACTGGTGTGAATCTCTCCACGTGAATCATAGACAAAGCATCTGGAAGATGACCTTCTCGAGCTCCCACGAAGAACAACCTTCAGCAGCAAGAGACTCACTATTTATTCAAATGTATATGCATTTTCTATAAGTGCACCTAATCAGGATTATAATAGTTAACTACAACCATTAAAAACTTTTTTATTTCAGCTAGTTGCCAAAGGAACATGTTTCATTTTAATTTAGTTTAACTTGATGTACTAAAATAACTAAAACTGAAATAAAAATTCAAGCAAACTATATATATATATTTAAAAAAACACACACTAATAAAATGACAAAACAACTAAATTACTAAAACGTTTAAATTAAAATTAAAATTAAAAAATAAAACTAGTTTGAAACATATCTTCTTTTGTCATATAATCGTCATATGAAAAAGTCATATAGATTTGAAGTGACATGAAGGTGAATAAATGCCAGAATTTTCATTTTTGAGTCACTATCCCTTTAAACTGATTCAGAACTCATGAGAATATTTGGCCTGGACACAAACATGCAAAACAATCATGTAAATGCTATCATGCAAAAACATCTTAAAGAGATGTGGCTGATTGTGTAGACTCGTGCATTTTTTTATTTTTTTTTTACCTTGGCACAGTTTCACTATCCCCGTGATAATAATGACGATGAGGGCACTTACTTTGGCATAAGTGAAGACATCCTGCACCCTGGTACCCCACTTAACATAAGCGGAATTAATAAAGGTCAGCAGGCCTGCAATATCATGACCAGAAAGCATGTTAGCATAAGAATATATACAGTATATATATATATATATATATATATATACTCTGACAAGTTAAGGCTGGAATACACTCCACAGATTTTTGCCCTGATTTGCAGTCTGGACAAGTCAATGCTAGTTGCTAAAAGTCAGAGTCAGTCTGCAGATTTTATGCAGTTGGAGTTGACAGGTTTCACAGAAAATCAAGTAGAGTATGGTAAGCACAGACTCTGATTTTTTTTTAGTTCAGACTATGATTCCATCCAGTTAGAGGAGATCAAACATTGTTTTAATTTGTTGTGCATCTCTTAGCAAGGGGGTGCATGTTTCTGCATTAATTTGTCGTTTTCTGGAACAACAAAGTCTGGTAGTGTGTGATCCTCATGATTTTAAAAGTGATGCAATGCATTCCAGCCTTGAAGTGAATGATAACAATGAAATGCTAACTGTGTTTTTGACAACAAACAACATCAGTTACTCCCTAAAGACAGCAATCAAAACTACTAAATTCAATACTTGATGAATTAGTGGGGAGTAGTAAAAGTTTGGTTAAGTCATGGCAACAGTAATGTTTAGAGTGGCATGTCTAATGAGGCTGCTGAAGGTATCCAAGTGAAACAGGTATACGAGGAAAAGCACCACAGAACCAGAAGAACCGGCTCCCTGAACTCAAAAACAAGTTATTCATTAACTAACCCATGACCCATTTTAAAGTTAGACCATAATGGGTCTCAACAGCTTATCAGATCTCATGGTGAGAAAACAGAGAAAGGAAGAGAGAACAGCAGAGTGAGAAAGACCACAAGAAAGTTAAAGAATGTGAAAAACAAGGGTGTAGAGCAACAGCATGTACACGTTACTCACAAATACAAGCTGCAGCAATGAGCCGAGAAGCAGAATACGGAGGCTCGCAAGTGGGGAAGAGCGGCTGAACCAAGTAGTTGGCAAAAGTTATGGCAATTACAGCCTGGCTTGTTGGTTCGATGATAAGCAGTGATGTCCATAGACGTATAAATGCTATGAAGCCTCCAAACGACTCCAGGATGTAGGCGTAGCTGGCGCCAGACTTAGTGATTGTCGTGCCGAGCTCGGCGTAACAGAGAGCACCCACTACTGAAAAGATGCCACCGATGGCCCAGATAACTAGAGACAGTCCGTAGGAGGCGCTATAGATCAGAACGCCCTTTGGCGATACAAATATGCCCGAGCCAATCATGTTCCCCACGATGAGGCTGACGCCGTTCAGGAGAGAGATTTCCTTTTTGAGCTGCATGCTCTCTTTGGGTTTTGAAAGGGCTGCAGGACCCTCAGGCTGGCCGTTCAGCTTTCTGGATTCAGCGTCGCTCTCCATTCTGTCCACAGGTGTAAGTGGTGCCACTCAGAGACAGACAGGGTCCTTGTCGGCCTTATCCAACCTAACAGTGCAGAAAAACAAGAGTTATATAAGGAATAGCTGCTGCTTAAAAGGATATTTTTGTCATGACAACTCTCGGAGGGACTGGCATGGTAAGGTACATGACAATGTTAATGTGTTTGGTCTTGGCGGAATAGATCTGCTCCGCTGCTGCTGTTGCTGCAGCAGAGCAAGTACCGAGACTTGCTACTGCCAATACATCCATAACATGCTGCTGTGAGCATGTAAGAAATACTGCTGCTGCACATATAACATACTATATGAAATAACCCCCATATAGCATACATGAAGCACCCCATAGCAGATCTATACAGGTGGAGCTGAGGAAGGAGGAGGGTTTCTGAAGCACGCTGCAACTCCTACAGCAAGCGCTAGCCAAGTATTTGAATGTTGAGCAGCGAGCTCCTTGGCTGCTGATACAAAAAGAACCAATCAGCTGCGCCATGTGATAATGATGTCATTATGTCAGATTGAGTTTGACCTATCGGACTGCGCCATCTCGCGTTTCATGCCAAAACTTTGGATTTCACCCCAAAATGAAAATTTTGTCATCATTTACTCACCCTCATGTCATTACAACTCTGTATGACTTTCTTTCTTTAGTGGAACACAAAAGAAGAAAATTTGAAAAATGTTTTGGTGTTTTTTTTTTGTCCATACAGTGAAAGTCAATGGGATAATGATGTTAAACTAACTAAATTGAAAAATCTTTTTTGTAACTGAAATAAAGCAAAAATAATAAACATAAATAAATATTAAATAAAAACTATAAATGGATAATAGAATAAATTATATACAACAAAAGACTAAAAAAGTTGAAGTATTAAAATTCTACAATTAATGACCTAAAGCTAAGTAGAAATATTTTTAAAAACTAACAAAAATGACAAAATTACTAAAAGTTAAACTACAATTAAACTAATATATTAAATATATTAAAAATTAATTAAAACATATATAAACACTAATTAATAAAAAATATATAAAAACTAATTCAAAATATAAAAAAATACTATATTAGTATATAAATAAATTATTACTATAACACTACAAATGGGGTTCAGAGTTGTTTTGGACCACACTGACTCTCAGTGTATAGACAAAAAACGTTTTTCTAAGGAACATCCTTCAAAAAAAGAAAGAAAGCCATACAGGTTTGAAACAACATGAGGGCAACTAAAGATTTACAGGATATTCATTTTGGGACGAAATATTTGTGCATGTTTGATACTGCATGATAACACTGGGGATCATGCAATTACCCACACATAACTAAAAAGTCACATCCGGCCTCCAAAGTCTAGTGATGGTGTGAAGTCAGTACAGGCCAGTGTGATAAGTAAATTACGTATGTGCAAAATGTGCTGATGCTAATTGACGAAAAGCTTGTGTGAAGATTGCATCATTGGGATTATGTAAACAAGTATTTCTTTGGTCAAACATGTCATAACCCCTCTCCCAATCAGAAGCTGAAAATTAAAAATGAAACCTATGCACTTAATCATGAGTTCAGTCAGGGTCTATATGGGTTTCTAAATGAGGGAAATCACACGTTTCACAATCCTGACTTGCTGTTTGTTGACCCTCTATAAATGATTAAGCATGACATGTCCACTGCTGCCACCTCTCTTATTGTGGATAGCACATTCCTCTGATTATTTGACTTGAACCACTCACTTTAACATTTATCCTTGTAAAACGCTCATTACATTAAGTGTGTCTGAAAACCAAAAGTCTTGTCTTTCAAATGGAGGGCAGATCATTTTAAATTAATATATAATATAGCATGTAATTGTTAAACAAGCACTGATTAAATTGTTCCCAAATTCTCCCCAGATAGCTTTCCTTCCCTGAGGCTTGTTTCCCATCCTAGATGATGTTTCCCAGAACTGGAACATTCACAAAAACATCTGCACTCATGACACATCAGTATACAGTGGTAAAGGGCAGTCCACTATCGTTGCCTTGGAAACTCAGTGACATCATCTTAGTTTTGACTTTGAATGAGATGAGCGACTTTTTTTGTGGGAACCTGTCTATCTATTTATTGATGCCCTTGGTGCTTTTTTCTAAGTGTACGCTTATCTGTTTGATACAGACTGATAGAAGTGCAAGATAACAAGTTTAATCCATACAAATAAATATTTAAATGGAAGTACAAACAATGTAGTGTGTGTATGAATGTGTGCTGTTGAAGGGATCTTTTGGAAAGAGAAAAAAATGTTTTGGAAAGATGCATTTTCCATGTTGCATCAGTGAGTGATAACACCCAGTGAACTGACTGTTCTGTTTGTCTGTCCTTACAGCCTCATTGTCATTCTAATTAAATATGGTGAATAAGGTCCATGGCAATGACTGGTTTCATCACACCCTTTTAATATTGTTTGTTTGTTATTCTTTATAAAAAATTTTATATGCACATATAATTAGGCTACTTCTCATCATCTTGCACTATTCTCAAAAAAACTGTTCATTCACATAAATTTCGCTATCACTTATATATTTAGAAATCTAACTAGAAACTAAAGGGGAATAATAAAAAAGTAAGAAACGAAAGCTGATTTACGTTAAAATCACTTAAAAACAACTACAACAACTTGGCACCCCGTGATCAAAACAAGTTCATATTTGGCAACCCTCTTTGTTACAATGAGACGCGCAGCAGTCGCGTTAAAGTAAAGAAAAGAAAGGTCGGGTTCTATACAAAATGAGAAATGTATCACATGTAATCGGCTGACACAAACATAAATAAATAAGTAAAACAGCACAAGTGTCTGAAACTACATGACGACGTATTACGAGACTTTAATGCTAAGGTTGTCCTCAAGCCTATCAGCTGTTCAACAAAACAACCCCATCAGCGCGTTTTTAAACGCGTTGTTATGTAGTCTGCTCTGTTCTGTCGGTAAGAATTTGGAGCGATGGGCTAATGAATATAGCTCTTATAAATCCATTGTTCATATAGTATATCTGGCATAGTGAATGACTGGAATAAACGTAAAGCATTTTGTAATCGATTGGATGATGATGAGAAGCAACATCCTGTTTTTCTAACATAACGTTAGAGCGCAGCAGAATATGAGACACGATCACTGCGTCATTTTAACAGAGATATTCTCCGCTCCGCGTTTTTTCATTCAACATATTGAACACATTCAGTTCATACTTTTATTAGAAAAACAAGAATTGAATAAATAGAATGGAATTATAACAGGATAGCTGTTCTCGCTGATTTAACACAAGTAGCAAAGTCCTTATTGTTCTTCTTTAAACGTATCGTTAAAAACAGAAACATGTCCTTACCTTGTTGTGTCCTTCGTTTATCGTCTTTGTCTAACTGGTGACATTAGCAGACAGGGCAGCATCTTTAACTACAGCAAGAAGAACCCTGAAGCACGGAGGGCAAGCTGCCAGAAAGTCACGTGACACCGGTAAAATTGATGTCACGTGGGTTTATTTGCAAATCAGACAGACCAACCCGGTTTGTCAGCAGACCCATTCAGGTGTTGCCTTACTGCCAAAAGCAACCCATTTAAAACTAATGTTTTCGTGGTTATGTGTTTCAGTGGTTTCTGATTAACGCTGCTTCACACCTGATATGTTCAAAGTCAAGCGATTAACTTTAAAGTGAGGAATAGGGTTTTGTTGCAGAGAAAGGGATGAAAATAATAAAAAGCATAAGGTATTTTATTTAACGATATATATATATATATATATATATATGTTTTTGATGAAAAAAAGTTTTTATGCTCACCAAGGCTGCATTTATTTGATCAAAAATGCAGTAAGAAGTAATATTGTGAAATATTATTACAATTTAATTTATTCCTGAGATGGCTCAATCTTTAAATATTATAAGACTTTACTGTCACTTTTGACCAATTTAATGCATCCTCGCTGAATAAAAGTATTATTGTCTATTAAAAAACAATTTCACTGATGTACTGTATTTGTTCCTACAGTACATAGGAACAAATATTTTAAGTCCTGCAACTGGTTACCAATTCTTTTAATAGCATTTTTACCTTCACTAGTTCATTTTTAATGGCCCTGCATTAATAATGATGCAATTAAAAATACAAATAAAATGTTTTTCTTTTTCTTTTTATGAGCATGTAGCGTTATTTATAATAGCGTTCATATTTATAATAATTATAGAATTGTTTTAATTATAATGATATTTATAATTATCATTCTTAATAAATAAAAAAAGTTCTCTACAATATATAAAACAATATATTCTCTACACTGCTGAAGCAACTTGAATTTTCAAGTCAAAGACATTTCACTTCTCACATTGCAATGTAAGTAAAGGCCCCTATAGCAAGGACCATTCATGTCCTTTAGAACTAACCAGCGTAAAGATCATCCATGCAATTAGACAGTCTGTGAGGAGGTATGTGGCATGGTATTGACCTGAGTAATACCTAGTAATAGCTGTTCTCGTAAGTGGATCTTACGTAAGAGCTCAGGTCAAATGCTGAAGGGACACATACTGTTAAACCGTGGTAAAGACAACATATTATATAACATCATTTAATGACATTTCTTATACCATGTTTATTTTGTCCATACATCTTTTTTTTTTTTGCTTTATACATGCCATGCTACAAACTGTACACAGGGAATAAAAAATAATGTCTTGTTGCAAGATACACTACAATCAGAAACTACTGAGTCTATTGTGCAACATGCACAATTGTAAGTCTTATAGATAAAAAAAACAAAAAACATGCATCCTTGGAAATGTGTAGTACACACAAGATTAATGTAGTTATAGTAAGAAATATTTGTAAGAAAAATATTTGATGAGTGAGTCTGTCAAATGAATATGATATAATAGGCTGTGAACTTCTCAGTCAACAGTTTCAGTATTAACAGAAGCTGTGAGTGAAAGCTGACAGCAAACTGTTAAGTGAGCATGATTAAGAGAAACAGCCTCATCTTTCCTAAAAGTTCTTTTCAAAATAATCTGTTTCTGTGCTGTTGTCTTTTTTCTCTCTCCACAAACAAAGGAATGTTATCAAACCTCTAATTGCCCATTAATCTGAACATCATCATGTTCAAAGGTATTTGATTAATCCCTTCAGTTTGTGAACTGGCAAACAATCACATCGTCAGTACCCTTTATAATGTTAATTTGATGAGATTTTTAGATCCAAGACTAAAACTGCATTGCAGCATACCCTTCCAGGGTCTGACCTCTCTTCTTCTGTTATACAGCAGTCCAAACAAGAACACACTAGCCATCTCAACATATTAATGACACATTACAGTGCCATACAAATCTTATATCAATCTGATATCAATTGTTTAATGTGCAGTTATGGCGTTTTGCCTTTGCATAACAGTAGCAGCATGCTGGCATAATTTAACCAGCCTGCCACCTATGGGTGGTCTGAGCATTTTCAGTGGATACTAAACCTAAAGTCGTGGCCACCAAGATAGCAACATTTTCACCAAGGCAGGCACAGATATCAAGCAAACAGCGCGTGCGTGCGGTCAAGGTCAGGGCCGTAGTGATGATCTCATACGTCTCGCGGGTCACAGCCTGTCTGGCCCGCAACACGTCAAGTACGTTGTTGAGTCGCCCCTCAGTCATGCAGCGAACAATGGCCTCCCGTCTTTCTTGCAGAAGTTGGCAACAGCTCCTTCCGGCAGACAGTTGATATTTTACTAGAGAAAGAGGAAGGATTAGAGTATATGATGATGGTGTAACCATAGAGTTAGGAACTAACACAAAGATACTATTTATACATAATTTTTATATTGTTCTGTTATTATATGTGTGACCAAAGCAACTCAGATCAACCTAGGTTCAGACATTTTACAGCTGTTAATGATCTTCAGATACAAAACAAAGTGATTACAATTATAATTAATAGGTCATTATAATAAATGCATGATTAAATAAATAATAAATTCTGCAAATTTAGAAATAATGCACATACTTTGCTGATAAGTAAAATATATATTAAATATATACAAACGTTTGGGGTTTTCTATTCATCAAGGATGAATTAAATTAATCAAAATTGACAGTAAAGACATTTAAAATGTTACAAAAAAAATTATATTTCAAATTCATCAAAGAAACTTGAATTTTTTTTTTGATCAAGTAAATGCCACCTTGGTAAGCAAAACATTAAAAACTCTTACCGACCCCAAACATTTAAATCATAGTGTATTTTTTGAAAAAATTGCCTTGCCCTGTAGCCAGTTACTTCACTGGGACAGGACCTTCTATACTACTAGCATTTAAATGAACAAAACAAGACTAATTCTGACAAAAACAAAAACCCTCTGGGGAGGAAACACACTGGACACAGATAAGGAATGAGTGGGGCAGTCATTCAGGAAGCGAGTGAGCACAGTCCCACAGAACTGCTTACTGCGCACATGTAAAAACCCAACACAAAGATCTGATACATTTGCTGTGTCCAGGTAGTTATGCCAACAGTATGTACACAAAAGCTCCTCCAGATTTATTTAGCTAAAATACATCAGGCAATTGAGACTGTCAGAGAGCAGAGCTCTTCCAGATGGATTAAAGTGCGCAGCAATGGCATGTTTATGTTCTCGGTCCAAACTCATATGTTGGAAATGTGCAGGACAGGAATGGAGAAATTTAGAGCGATTCAAAAACTTATACTGTTAGGACATTTTGGAGACAGAACTAATTTCTCACCCTGGTTGCCAGCGTTGTTTTGTGGGTTACTCTGAAATATCATTGTGGGGCCAACACATGGGGACCTTAAAGATGTAGAGCTCCATCTCTGGGGAACTCCGGGACGTCCATTAATCGGAGCAAAACCATGATCACTGCAGGAGTTATTGGATTGGACTGAACTTTTGCCAGTATCTATAAAAGACATGAGCAGGGAAAAACATAATTATGAGACAATTTATAGTAATAAAGTGATAAAGTGTATACAAAATACTATCAAATGAGAGCTCACTAACCCCTACAACATCCAATCTGAGGACAACGTCTTGTTGCTACTGGCAGAGGCGCCTTTACTTTTGCATTCGGTGAAGACACTGGCAGAGTTTCATTCTGGGGAATCACCTTGGAGTTCCAATTTTTTGTGGTACTTTTGTAATTATTGTCCTGTTGGTGGTAAAAGACAGTCAGCTGTCAGAATCCGAAAACTTTAAGAAGTGTTATATTTAAACGTTATTTATTATGCACACACACACACACACACACACAATACAAAATACAGCATCGGACTGAGTTCCTGCTTAGTTCCTGGGGGAAGTCGTGGCCTAATGGTTAGAGAGTCGGACTCGTAACCCAAAGGTTGTGGGTTCGAGTCTCGTACCGGCAGGGATTGTAGGTGGGGGGAGTGAATGTACAGCGCTCTCTCCCACCTTCAATACCACGACTGAGGTGCCCTTGAGCAAGACACTGAACCCCCAACTGCTCCCCGGGCGCCGCAGCAAAAAAATGGCTGTCCACTGCTCTGGGTGTGTGTGTGTGTTCACTGCTGTGTGTGTGCACTTTGGATGGGATAAATGCAGAGCACTAATTCCAAGTATGGGTCACCATACTTGGCCACACGTCACTTTCACTTTTTAATAATACTAACATTATGATGATATAAAAATGAGAGAACAATTCAACACAAAATCAAGTAAAACCTGTTCAAAATAAATGCACCAGTTGTCCTACCTCTAGGTTATGTAGCTCAATAGGCAACTCCCAGGATGAGCGCATTTTACAGCTCAGTAGCCTCCTCTCCTGATGAAACAGACACACACAAATACACAATCAGTCAGCAGTCAAGTTCTTCACATCTGTATTAAAATTAATTTCAATTCATACAGGAAAAAATCAACATGATGTGGAGTCCACGATCACTAGTGAAAATGTTACTACTTTGATTTTTTTATTATAAAATGTATAATCAAATGTTGATTTGAAAAATTAATAGTATTGGTATTAGGATTGTCTTCATTTTGCTTTAATGAAAGCAGCATTCGAGCTGCATGAACTTCACAAGTTTGTTTAAAACCTGACAATCTAAGAATGATTTGATCCAAAGAGCATCTTGTTCTTCAGTGGAAGAAGGAATATCTGACCTTTTGAACAGTTTATATAATATCATTATTGGATTACTGACCAGAAAATCTTAAATGTTTATTTTTCTTCTTAACTTTTACTTTTTAAATGTTTCATTGCTATCCAGTTTTTAATGAAAGAAATCCTAGATTTGTAGAGTGACTTTGGACCCCACTTAATAAAATAGCCAGTACAACTATTATTCAGCTTATTAATCATTAGACAAGTACTTTGCATGTTTTCAGATGAAGAACAGCTTCGGTGAAAGTCTGTGGATCAAACACTGCCAAAGTTGTCCTTAGAACCACTGCACACTCTGTGTGAGCAGAACATAATTAGTGATCAAGTAATATGGGATTACATCTCTAAGATCCATAAAAATTCCATAACTAACCCTCGGCTGATGGTCGTTTTTGAGG